CGGGTGGGGGCTAAAAAGGGGCGGATTAGACGCCAATAGCGTACACTGAGTGTCTAAGGAGAGAGGGAGTGGTTGGCCTATGGGGTGTAACCGGGGTCGGGTTGTGGAGATGACATTAGTCCATCCGCATGGAGTAAAAGTGGTGCCTGTGCTTGCAAATAAATATCAGCAGACAGACAGACAGACAGACCGACCGACCGACAGACAGACAGACAGACAGACAGACAGACAGACAGACAGACAGACAGACAGACAGACAGACAGACAGACAGACAGACAGACAGACAGACAGACAGACAGACAGACAGACAGACAGACAGACAGACAGACAGACAGACAGACAGACAGACAGACAGACAGACAGATAGATAGATAGATAGATAGATAGATAGATAGATAGATAGATAGATAGATAGATAGACAGACAGACAGACAGACAGACAGACAGACAGACAGACAGACAGACAGACAGACAGACAGACAGACAGACAGACAGACAGACAGACAGACAGACAGACAGACAGACAGACAGACAGACAGACAGACAGACAGACAGACAGACAGACAGACAGACAGACAGACAGACAGACAGACAGACAGACAGACAGACAGATAGATAGATAGATAGATAGATAGATAGATAGATAGATAGATAGATAGATAGATAGATAGATAGATAGATAGATAGATAGATAGATAGATAGATAGATAGATAGATAGATAGATAGATAGATAGATAGATAGATAGATAGATAGATAGATAGATAGATAGATAGATAGATAGAGAGATAGATAGATAGATAGATAGATAGAGAGATAGATAGATAGAGAGAGAGAGAGACAGACAGACAGACAGACAGACAGACAGACAGACAGACAGACAGACAGACAGACAGACAGACAGACAGACAGACAGACAGACAGACAGACAGACAGACAGACAGATAGATAGATAGATAGATAGATAGATAGATAGATAGATAGATAGATAGATAGATAGATAGATAGATAGATAGATAGATAGATAGATAGATAGATAGATAGATAGATAGATAGATAGATAGATAGATAGATAGATAGATAGATAGATAGATAGATAGATAGATAGATAGAGATAGATAGATAGATAGATAGATAGATAGATAGATAGATAGATAGATAGATAGATAGATAGATAGATAGATAGATAGATAGATAGATAGATAGATAGATAGATAGATAGATTAGATAGATAGATTAGATCGTGGATGGTGGGGTGAATAAATGAGTGGGTGGCGCAATTGATGGGCGGGTAGACAAATAGACGTAATGATGGCTATACTCGTGGATGAATGGGTCGGCTGATATATGAAATCAGCTAAAGACAAGGGTCACAAGACACGATACTTCTCACTTACTGTTAGCTATAAAATAGAGACAGTAAGGGTGATTGTTATACAAAGTATCAGTCGAACCGAGCGCAGAACTGGTTAAAAAAACAGAATGTAAGGGAGCCATGGAAAAATAGCTAGGGTGGATGGTGTGGTGAGTGGGCGAGTAGGTGGTGAGATAGATGGGTGGGTAGATGAGTGGATGGGTAAAGGATGGCTATATTGGTGGATGAATGGAATTGCTAATATAAAGAATCGGGTAAAAATAAGGATCTCGTGATAAGATGCTTCTCTCTTACTGTCAGCTATCAAATAGAGACAGTAAGGATGCTTGTTATACAAAAGTAATCAGTCGAGCCCGAGAGTAAAACTGGTAACAACCAGAATGTAAGGGAGCGATGAAGGGATAGATGGGAAAACAGCATGTGTGGATGGTGGTGTGGGTAGGCGAGTGTGTCCTGGATAGATGGGTGGGTAGATGAATGGATGGAATGATGGATGACTGTATTAGTGGATGAATGAAATTGTAGATGGATGGATGGATCGACCAAATATGAGATGAGGTAAAAACATGAGTCTAGTAACAGAGTGCTTCTCTCTTACTGTCAGCTATCAAATAGAGACAGTAAGGGTGATTTTCATACAAAGTATTAGTCGAGCCCAAGTGCAAAGCCGGTAACAGCCAGAATGGAAGGAAGCGGTGAAAAATAGCATTGAGTGGATGATGGGATAAATGGTGTGGGTAGATGAATGGGCGGGACGATGGTTACGTTCGTAGATAGATGCAATGGTAGATGGATGGATGGATCTGACTATATGAATGCTGATATATTTAAACAGGTTTGTTGCTGTGTTTTAGTATCCAGAAGCCATGAGTTGTTAAACCTTAGGCTCGGTATTATGGATATCGCAACCTTTCGGCCTTGATTCCATTTTAAATACCGTAAAACTGGGAGAAATGTGGCTCTTCTGCCTACCCCCGGGAGTGAACCCGGACCACAAGGAGTTCGTAGGGCAGTATAACACTATCGTCTGGAAAGACGAGAAAGTGCCAGTCACGCACGAATTACTCAGCTCAACACTCATTTTCTGGTACCTGTCCGGTGCAGTCGCCCAGGGAGCCTTAGAGAAGGTAGATAAATGCACTTCTTTGCAGATTCGAACCGAGGACCTTTATGATAACAGCCAAGCATATATCTGCGAGATGACACACAGCTTCCCAGAAACACTAATTACGTTGGAATACAAACTATCAGTGACACCGCCAAAGGGGCTCCTTAGTTATATCCGGATGACAAACTTTGATTGCACCGTTGATCTATTTAGTGGTTGCCACGGGCGTCACGCCCTTGATCTCCCTTGACAGATAGTCAATCATCAATCAGATCTATCAATCATCTCATGCTGGGAGCGTCAGAAGGCTAAAGGGCATCAAAGTAGTCCAGGTACTGCCACAGTGATTTGCTTTTTACGATCCTATAGAGGTTGTTGTTTCTGGTCGCTGTTAGCTGGTTGATTTGAGGATCGGTTGGCCGAACTGGTATGAGCACTGGGCTCTCAAGTGCGAGACCCAGGTTCTAATCCTCAGTCAGGTTAGGGATTTCTTTCCGTTGAAAGCAAATATAAATTCCTTACCTGTACAGCCCGACGCGACAGCACTAGCTATTCGGCCTTTAATCATCAGGCTCAAAGATCTGTATCCCCTCCATTCCTACACCGGAGAAGTGTTCAATAGACGCAGTTGTTTTTGGCAGAATGTTGGTTATGGTAAATGTTGGAGGTGTTGAATGTTGGATGACAGGGGCAGGTGACTGTTGATGTTTGTATATGTTCGCTATGTTTGCAGAGAGTTTGTTGATGTTCTTTGTTGGCCTCAAGTTAGCGGTTGGTAGTTAGATTAGGTCGAAGGCTGGTTATGTTGAATGTTGGAGGTGAGAAAACATGGAGTGGGTGGGGGAAGGGGAGGGGACAGGGCTCATCATACCCAGCTTCAAGCCCACTTATGTGGAATAATAATAATAAAAATAATAATACTAATACATTAAAACTTTGATTTACCGATTCCGTCCGGACTAAGGCTGTGTCGGATAACCAAACAGACGAATAACAGAAATCTCCTAATACATATGTACATTAACGTGATTTCACTGCGGGCTTGAAACGAAAAAAAAAAAAAAATTCTTTAAAAGTGAATGATGCGTACATAATGTATTAAACTTTACAAAACAATCAAAATAAACATCAATATAAGAGTACAAATTTACTGAAATTAAGTAAACATATTTACTTAAATTAAGTAAACATAGAACTTAAAAATAATCTGTCATCTCTCTCTGTGTTTTTAAGGTTTTTATTTGTTGACACATGGGCATTTTTCTTAATAAGACGATGATAGATAACACAAACTGGCGGTTAAATCAGGGATGTTGATTAATGTGATACGAATAATAATAACGGGTCTTCCTCAGTTTCCACCTCAAACATTTATGTTAGGAGAGGTAGCATAATGTGCCTACTTCTGCGCGCGCGCACACGTACACACACACACACACACAGGCACACACAGGTACCCACAAAAAGACACAGGACAACGAAAACATGTCAAGATAGGCGGTGCCGGAAGTGGCTAGAGCGACGCGTCATCAAACAGGAAGTCAATCTTACCTGGCCTGCACGAGACGTGCTGGAGGGCCAATTTGGCTGACTCGACGTCCAACGATCAATAGATCAAAATAACTTGAACGTTACAAGTTTTGCGGCCTATCGCTTGTCACCACACAACACAGTACATCCACAACCGACACAACATGTCACCACCCAACACCATACCTATACCGCTGGTGACACTAGAAGCAAATTAAATACCTGAAATTCTTTCATTTTGCGAAACCCGTTGGAAGAATACAGTTTGAACTGTTTGGAAATTTTACAGCGTAACAATAAAATTGATATTCGGCTTAGAGTAACAGCGTAACAAGTGTAACAAAGAATTGACGGTTTTCTTTGTTTACAAGCGAAAAAAACTGTGTAGTGAAAAACTAATCGTTTGCGTAATCTAAGAGTGTAAGTCACAGTGTAACAAAAATTGATCGCTTATTTAGTACAAGAGTATAATAGTGTACTAAAATTGATCGTTTATTTAGTGCAAGAGTATAATAGTGTACTAAAATTGATCGTTTACTTAGTTAAAGAGGGTGAGAAACAGTATACAAATATTGATTGTTTACTTAGCGAACTAGTGTAACAGTGTAACAAATACTGATAATTTACTCAGTGAAATAGTGTAACAGTGTAACAAAAATTTATTGTTTAGTTTGCGAAATAGTGTAACAAAAAGTTACCGTTTGCTTAATGAATGGGTGTAACGAAAACTCATCGTTTCCTTAGCGAAAGAGTGTAACCAACAGTTTGAAGAAGAAAAAAAGAAACAAACACACACACACACACACACACACACACACACACACACACACACACACACACTCATACACAAAACACAACCAAGTGTAATAACCTAATTGCGGAAGAAACTCAAAATAGTTCACGTTCATATGTGGGGGTAAACAGTGACTACGGACAGAGAGATAATTTTGGGAGGAGCTTTCAGGGATATAGTTTGGTTCTGTCAGTATGGAAAAAACCTGTCCAACCCGAGTTGTTGTGTGTGCAGGTAAGAGACAATATGTTATCCATGTAACGTCGCTTCTTATGCATTCGTAAGCCATGTTATTTATTACATTGAAACATGTGATGTTGAATATCGATTTTTGAAATGTATGATCTTTAAGATAGGATTACTCAACAAACACGCGCGCACACACACACCAGACACCCACAGACGAGCACATAAGGGTGTCCTTAAAGTCGATGTGCAGCAAAGGTTTCAAATAATCGTGTGAAGCATCAGAAAATGTTTGTATTACGTCATGTGATGACGAATCTCTTTTGAATACAGTGAAAAGACCGAAAGTGCAGTAGTACGAACATGCAACAAGATCTAACGGCCTCTGACTGGACAGGGCTTAGGCGCGCAGCTATGAAGTCGATTGCACCTGACCGTCGAAGACAGAGGGAGCAAATCAGACATTCAGCAGCAACTGGTAACCCTACGACACGCAGTGTTATGGGATGATGATGATGGTGGTGACTGCAGTGACTCTCTTTGGGCTCTGCTCGTGCAGTCTTCTCTGTCATATTGACAGATACTTCAACATTGCAAGCTTGAACAGGAACAAACGTTGAGAAACACCGAACAGATTTTGAAGATTCCGTTTATACTTCAACGATGTCCTCTCGATCAAACACCATGCCGGAGGTATATTTTCTAGGGACCTAGCTATGCTCGCACGCAATTACTTACTTCAACGACTATGCACGATTGTTACTGTCAGTATATCTCACGCTTGCATTTTCTTGCTTTCAAATCCGCATTCACAAAATGCACAGCACAGCCGCCATCCTTGCCTCCATTCCTTGTTGTCATTGATTAATTAGCCAGGTTTTTTTTCGGGCTAGTGGGTTGAATGCGTTTGTTCTTCTCAGGATACATTCAGCTCAGACACTCCAATCGCCAAGACCAGATCAAAAACTAGACTGCCTTATATCACTCTCTCACGGCTTAAATAGCCTCTTCCTGTCCGTGTAAACTTCCAGACTGTTCTCCAGCATTCATGTTTTCCTCGCTTATCATGCTTTTGGCCAAACTGCACAAAGTTCAAGTTTGCCTCGATTTGACACTCGATGTGTTCACACATATATTATTCTTAATAACGCCTATTTAGAAACGTTTATGATAATGAAAATACCAAGGAGAAAATTACCCCTCACAGTGATAATGAGTTCCATATAGCAGTTTTGTTTGGACCACCCCACCCCCAACAAGCCTGCATAACTCATATTAGAACACCATCATCATCAACAAGAACCATACCGACAGGCGTGGGCGACCATTTCTCTCCACAATCAGTGATTCGCAACTGCGTGTCTCAGTTCGTGTTTTGACACCATGCCATGTAAAAAGGCTATCAAGTCTTCTCGCACTGTCCTTCAATGTTTCTCTACACAAGGATCTCAGAATATGACTAATATCTACTTTGTACCTATGCATTTTTTCCAGATACCCTTTACACACACACGCGCTCACGCACACACACACACACACACACACACAAACACACACATAAACCCACGCACAAACACAGACAGTGTAAGGTTTTTTTGTTACGTGCATGATATTTGTGTGTGACAATACAGTTAACATAAATGAATGAATGAATGAATGAATGAATGAATGAATGAATGAATGAATGAATGAATGAATGAATGAATGAATGAATGAATGAATGAATGAATGAATCAATGAATCAATGAATCAATGAATGTGTGATTGAATGAACTGACATCAGTGCTTTCTTGACAATTCAACACATGCTCCATTTCGTTCTTCAGCAACTAACGAAGATTTGAAATGCCCATACTACCCGTTGCTACCTGATAACAACTGGTACCATTAGCATGTCCCCTCTTCGTGGGTTACTGAAGAAGGAGACGGAGCACGCGTGGCAATGTCCCGAGTGTAGTGATGTCAATTCTTGATTCATTTATTCATTCATTCATTCAATCACTCATGAAATCACTCATTCATCCTTAACCTTTCTCTTGGACGTTTTTGGTTCCTCATTCCCTGTATTTCCCATTTCAGTGTCTATTTAGTTATTCTCTGCTCATCTCTTCTCAGGGTAAGCCTAGTACGGCGCCATCTTCTTTGTCTCATTATCCATGGTTATCCTTGATATTTGTTTTATGTCACCTATGGTTTTTATGCATCAGTTCTAGTGTATCCTCACCTCTGATCTTCTTCCATGTGTTCTCCAGCTGTAGCTGCACTCACATTGGCCTGGTTGACAACGGCCCAACCCCCAGCAGCTCAACCACAAACCCCAGGTGGGCAACCCCAAACCCCAGGCTTCCAACCTCAAACCCCAGGTGGGCAACCCCAAACCCCAGGTTTCCAACCACAAACCCCAGGTGGGCAACCCCAAACCCCCGGTTTCCAACCACAAACACCAGGCTTCCAACCACAAACCCCAGGAGTCCAACCCCAAACCCCAGGTGGGCAGCCACAAACCCCAGGTCTCCAACCGCAAACCCCGGGCTTGCAACCCCAAACCCCAGGTGACCAACCACAGACTCCGGGCGCCCAACCGCAGGCTGCCTGCAGTGCCAGATTTGAGGCAGCGGTCACGCCGAAATGTTTCGACGCCTCTGGAGTCAACTTTACAGGAATTATCTACTTGCTCAGCGGCAATAGATCTGGCAGCATCCCGACCGGCTACACCCACCAGAGCTTTGTACAGTTTATCTGCGGGTAGGTGACCACTAAATACTATCTTCTTTCTTCCTCTTCTGCTGCCTTTCTAGCCACCAGTGGAGCATAGGCCCTCAACCAGCTCAAGCAAAGTCGTTCTTTACTTCGCTATTGCATGGAGCTCTTTCTATGTCCTCCCCATCTTTTTAGCTTCATTGCCCAGCTTTTTTCCCCCAGCTTTTCTTTAATCCCATGCCTCTGTGGGTTCCTATGCAAAGACATTCTAGTTATGATGTTCTCCGGTTTTCTCAGTGTGTGTTCTATCCAACGCCAGCGTCTTTTCCCGCCTCTTAATCCACTGGGGGTTGCTTAGTTCTTGCCAAAGCTCTATATTAGTAATTCTATCATATCATTTAATTCCCTTTATTCTGCGACTAAATACTATACTAAATACTATACTAAATACTATACTAAATACTATACTAAATACTATACTAAATACTATACTAAATACTATACTAAATACTATACTAAATACTATACTAAATACTATACTAAATACTATACTAAATACTATACTAAATACTATACTAAATACTATACTAAATACTATACTAAATACCAAACTAAATACTATACTAAATACTATACTAAATATTATACTAAATACTATACTAAATACTATACTAAATACTATACTAAATACTATACTAAATACTATACTAAATACTATACTAAATACCAAACTAAATACTATACTAAATACTATACTAAATACTAAGTCTCCACTGGACAGATTTCAGAGCAATTTGGCGAAAAGGAATTCTCAAGAGTTGTATAAATCCTATTGTGTTTTAGGGAAGTGAATCATAGCCAGTTGGACGATAATTGAAAAAAATTATGCAGAAGCTACGAAGATGGGGTTTTATGGACGATTGATGAGAATACCCTGGACAGATAAACAGAGTAATGAAGAGGTATTGAAAGAAACTGACTTACGAAGAGAATGATTGTCCACATAAGAAAGAGGTAATCTTCATTCTCATGAATCGTGATAGCGGGAAAGTTGGAGGGTACAAGAGACAGAGGGAAACAGAGAGAGAAGATGCTCAACAGTTTGACATCATGCCATGAAAGAATATCTATGTCAGATTTGATAGAAAATACACGAGACAGAATGTTGTTGATAATATATGACCACCAAAACCACACGGCGTGGAAATTACGAGAAAGGAATAAATAGATCGCCACCCTTCCTTGAGAGCCTGGCCAAAAAAAAAGCCGTCTTTTTATTTAACTGTGTCTTCTTCTGTCCAGAAAGCAATGGCAAACTACTGGACGTAAATTTGCCTAGAGAAACCACACAACAGACAGGGGCTGCTGGGGTTGGTTCTGTAACGTCCTGTAAAGAATACACACCTAACCAGTGTCTTCTGCTATTTCTGTAGCAGTGTTGCGCTCTTGTTAGAAGCGATGTTTTTTTTTTTTTTTTTCGAATTTTGTGAAACGATGTTAGCTTGTTTGTTATACTTGTGCATACTTTTTGTAGGTTAAAATACTGTCTGAAAGATAACAGTTACAGATATCGTGTTTGTGATTTTTAAAAAAAAAACAGTTATAAATACCATGTATAAGATTTAACAAAATTCTAGATACCATGTAGAAAATTAAAAAAAAAAAAACCACACATAAATAAATAAAACAGCTATAGATACCCTGCGTAAGATCAAAATGGATATCGATACCGTGTATGTTATAAAAACAGTTATAGGTACCATGAGAAAGATTTTTTTAAAAACATACATCGATACGGTGTATAAGCTAAAACCGTTATCGATACCATTTATAAGAGAAACACAGATATGCATACTGTGTATAAGATTAAAAACATTTTTTACACACCGTTTTTAAGATAAATACATTTTTACATAAAAAATGTATACATTTTGTGTATAACATTAAAACAGATACAAATCTTGTGTGTGACATAAACAAAATTACAGATATTGTACATAGGAATTAAAAATTATAAATACTTTACATAAATATATTTAAAACTATAAATTCCATATAAAGATACCGTATGTAAGCTTTAGAAACGTTTTGTTACAATCTACATTCTTTTATCATGTGATGAGAAGGAGAAAACCCGAACACATCGTGACAGTATGTATGAAAACTGGAGGGGAGGAGAGGAGAGGTGGACCGAAAGAAAAGGTGCTGGTGAGTTTGACATCATTGCAGGGGGAATAACCTATGTTAAGAGTTGAGACAGAAGGTTGTGGATAGACATGACTACCAACACCACACTGTATAAATTATGGAATACCATCTGTGTCAGAGTTGACTAAAAGTACACAAGACAGAAAGTTGTAGATTGACATGACTACCAACACCACACTGTATAAACTATGGAATACCATCTGTGTCAGAGTTGACTGAAAGTACACGAGACAGAAGGTTGTGGATTGGCATGACTACCAATACCATACGGCATGAACTCTGGAAGACCATTTGTGTCAGAGTTGACTAAAAGTACACGAGACAGGAGGTTGTGGATAGACATGAATATAAACACAACACGGCATGAACTACGGAAGACCATCTGTGTCCCAGTTGTACACGAGACAGAAGGTTGTGAATAGACATGACTACCAAAGCGAAATTGCATTCTGTTTCTACTCTTTCAAAGTGCTCTTTAAATAGATGAGGCAAGTTAATAACGAACAATATTTATTAACACCATATTCTTCTGCCATCATCCTCACAGTCAACTTTACCATTCAATTCATGGTTGCGAACATTAATTGAATGTCACAGGCTAGAGTCATCATCAATCGTTTCCACATCAGTGTTGAAACACGAAGACCACCTAAATTTATGTACGCGAGATAAACTTTACTCCCCATAAACATGTCTAAAAGCTTTAGTTGTTTCAAAATCACTTTTCACCGAATTGAAAGCATAATTTAATGGCCATCTTTGCTCCATGCTGCATACGCTACAAAGCAACTCTCACGTTGAACAAGATGGCGGGTTTTTCGTCGTATGCTGGCCAGGTGACATTGCAATGTGGCCAAATTATGTATTAGTGGTGTCTGTTTTGATGACATACTGTGCTTCATGGATTGCATTCTTTTTCTTGGCCATAATAAAACCAGTCTCATTATTTAACGACCGAACCGCTTATAAATGGATATAGATAGCGTACATACAATAAGTAAATGGTCTGTATTGTTGATAATTGCCCCCCAGCCAGGAAAAACAGGACACAATCATTCCCTGTGTCTTGGCACAGATGCAAGAACACAACACTTCCCAGTGTACAGCCGAGGACAGGGCTGTCCTGTTTGGTCGAGGCGGACAGCTGTTAGCTTTCTTGGAGTCTATTTGTGGTCAGCGTAAGTATTTCTTTGTTCCAACTGTCCATTTTTATTGGTGCCAGTTTGTTCCTTTGTGTGTGTGTCTGCACCAGCTTGCATAAATGTGTATGCATGCTTTATCTCTATATATCATCGGTATGAATTTTCCTGCGTCTCATATGTTCTTATATAATAGGCTTTGTCTGTAATTGTTTAGGCTCATATAAGAAAGACGTAAGTTGTTATGTTTCTTTTGTCCATCTATCATAGTTGTACATTTGTAGGGTATTTCACATTTCTGTTTATGATAGACATGAATTTATGTGTATGGGTTATGTCCATAGGTCATAAGTGTGTGGTGAGTAGTATTTCGTATGATCACACGAAATAGTTGTTGCTACATCTGTATACATAAAGTAGATTTTGTTACATCTGTATACGTAAAGTAGATTTTGCTGCAGCTGTGAATGTAAAGTATATGTTGCCACAGCTGTATACTGAAGTGGATGTTGCTGGAGCTGTCAACATAAATTAGATGTTGCTACTACTGTCGACATGTAGTAGATATTGCTACAGCTGTCAACATAAAGTAGCGGTTACAGTTTTCATGAAATATATATTGCTACAAGTGTATGTATAAGGTATATTTGCTATAAATATTGAAATAAGTGTATAAATAAAGTTGGCGAAGGAAAATGGAATATTCGCTGTAACCACTGGAAAGATCTGTGGACAAAGAGACAGATTATGGCCACACGAGACGATTCTTGACATCATGTTGGCATGTCTGGGAAGATGTCTAAACATCCAGTGATACAAGCTGTTGAACATCACAGATTGTGGAGAGGTATGATCGCCCACGCCAGTCGGCAAGGCACTTGATACAACGATGGTTAGTTGCGTATCCTTTACAGGACGTTTCAGAACCAACCCCAACAGCCCCTGGCTGTTGTGTGGGTTTTCTAGGCAAATTTACGTCCAGCAGTTTCCCAGTGTTTTCTGGACGGGCGGCTTCTTTGATACCACTGTCGAAACTAACGCAAGGCAATGGCTTCCAGCTGGGATCGAACCCGGCATCCCGGCATTACGAAGCGTTTGCATCGACTTAGCCACAGAGCCGACTGATACAACGATGACATGTGTATTAATGAAGAAGCTCTGCCTGTAGCTATAATCATTAAATAAATACATGCTTAGACTGGATATCACTAAAGCTATATTCACGAATAGTGTATCTTGTCGTCTGCTAGCTTGCGAACAGGACTCCACGCAAAGTCTGGTTCAATGTTATGCCGCCATTAACGTCAACCCTGAACATATTCTCAGCCAGAACGCCTCCATTGTCGAGGACAAGTACACAATTGTTGGCAAAAACGATACTGAGTTTGATAATTTTTGCAGGTGGGTTATTCTTCGATTGTTCTTCGGCGCTTTTCTGTTGTTTTGTATATTCTCGTATTTGTGTTTTGTTGAGCCATTTTCCTTCTTCCTCCTCCACCCCCTTCTCCTCTTCCTCCTCCTCCTCATATATTTGCTCTGTTAATGCATAGTTTGGCTGCTTGTTCCTTCCTTCCTTCCTTCCTTCCTTCCTTCCTTCCTTCCTTCCTTCCTTCCGTCCGTCCTTCCTTCCTTCCTTCCTTCCTTCCTTCCTTCCTTCCTTCCTTCCTTCCTTCCTTCCTTCCTTCCTTCCTTCCTTCCTTCCTTCCTTCCTTCCTTCCTTCCTTCCTTCCTTCCTTCCTTCCTTCCTTCCTTCCTTCCTTCCTTCTTCCTTCCTTCCTTCCTTCCTTCCTTCTTCCTTCCTTCCTTCCTTCCTTCCTTCCTTCCTTCCTTCCTTCCTTCCTTCCTTCCTTCCTTCCTTCCTTCCTTCCTTCCTTCCTTCCTTCCTTCCTTCCTTCCTTCCTTCCTTCCTTCCTTCCTTCCTTCCTTCCTTCCTTCCTTCCTTCCTTCCTTCCTTCCTTCCTTCCTTCCTTCCTTTCTTCCTTCCTTCCTCCCTCCCTTCCTCCCTCCCTTCCTCCCTCCCTTCCTCCCTCCCTTCCTTCCTTCCTTCCTTCCTTCCTTCCTTCCTTCCTTCCTTCCTTCCTTCCTTCCTTCCTTCCTTCCTTCCTTCCTTCCTTCCTTCCTTCCTTCCTTCCTTCCTTCCTTCCTTCCTTCCTTCCTTCCTTCCTTCCTCCCTCCCTCCCTTCCTCCCTCCCTTCCTCCCTTCCTTCCTCCCTTCCTTCCTTCCTTCCTTCCTTCCTTCCTTCCTTCCTTCCTTCCTTCCTTCCTTCCCTTCCTTCCTTCCTTCCTTCCTTCCTTCCTTCCTTCCTTCCTTCCTTCCTTCCTTCCTTCCTTCCCCCTCCCTTCCTTGCTCCCTTCCTTGCTCCCTTCCTTGCTCCCTTCCTTCCTTCCTTCCTTCCTTCCTTCCTTCCTTCCTTCCTTCCTTCCTTCCTTCCCTCCTTCCTTCCTTCCTTCCTTCCTTCCTTCCTTCCTTCCTTCCTTCCTTCCTTCCTTCCTTCCTTCCTTCCTTCCTTCCTTCCTTCCTTCCTTCCTTCCTTCCTTCCTTCCTTCCTTCCTTCCTTCCTTCCTTCCTTCCTTCCTGCTTCTTCCCTCCATCCAAGCTACTAACTAGAGGTTTCGCATCCAGAGATGTAAATGTCGATCTGTATGGCAGACCAACCGGGCCTCCACAGAAAGTATACACCATGTATCGGCTATATCAGCCTGGTAGAACCTGTTGTGCTGTGTGGGTGAGGATCTGATGTCTACATGGATGATTGTTTAGTACAAGATCTATTTGTTAACAGTTCTGCAAGTTCCCAAGAAATGTCACCATTTCCCTATTGTGCCATTATATGTTACATAGGTCTCACAGTTGTTCACTCCATTCCGTTCTAAGTTAATTAAACAAAAGTAAAGATCCCTTTTCACGCCTTTGAGGCGTATCGGGTATATGGAAAGAGCACCCATATTTTTACAGACCATCGGCAGTAGGTGGGTAATATGGTCAGCATTACGCCGACCGTCTTTACTTCCCCAAAACTGCCATCCTGGTACCCATTTTAGGCAGGGTCGTCCTGTGACGTCCAATACCATGATACAAATCCACGCAGCCAGCAGTAGGATTCGATCGCGGTACGTTGGAAATACGAGTCGGACTGGCAACGCCTAAGCGACGGACGCAGTCCATTCCGTTCTACTTTGTGTAATCATTTCAAAATAATTTGATTTTTAAATATCCAGAAACCATGATATGTTAATCGTGTGATTCACGACAATGGATATCGCAACCCTTCGGCCTTGATTCCATGATAGGTACTTTAAATCTAGGAGAAATTTGACTATTCTGCCTACACACGGGCTTGAACCCGGACCACAAGGAGTTCATCACCCTGTCGCCACTCGGTTAGGTTTAACCAACTGAGCTAGCTAGCCGGATGCCAGTCTAATACCTTTGGCCTCTCTTATCAATGTTCGTTTTTTAATTTTTTATTTGGGGGTGGTGGGGGAGGGGGGATTTGTCCTCTCTTCCCTAATCCCCTGTTTCCCATTTTAGTGCATGTTTAGTAATTCTCTGCTTCTTTCTTCTCAGGCTGTGTCCAATATAGCGCTATCTTCGTTGTCTATAACTGTTGTTGCCACTGGTTGCCCAGCCCAGTCATTTATTGTATGTCTGCAAACTTCTTGAATTTATCACATTTTATGTTCAACATTTTCCTCAGTCATTTGTTTTCACGTGCATTTAACTTCCCGAAAATGTAACCGTCGGGAAATATTTCATTAATGTTTGCCTCCTAAATCTGATGAAATATCTTAAACAAATCCAAGCTGGATTTACCAGGAAAGAATGGATTGCAACACTAAGCACTTCACGAATAGCTGCCCTAACGTTAATCTTTGTACCAGGTCATGCGGGTGTTCAAGGGAACGAGCGTGCAGACTATTTTGCTGATACTGCGTTTGCTATGGCTGGTCCAGTACTGGACAGAAGTGATGGTATTATCAATGCTATGCGTTGAACTTGCTGCGCAGAGGAGGATGCCAAAGGACATGACTCCATATCCCTGGCTAGACTGATGGACATGGAGGTGCAGCCTGGAGCTGCAAGAAATGAACATTTCACATAAGGGGACAAGACGTTTCCTTAACCAACACAGAACAGGCGTCATCAGTCGTTTTACACTTGTGGAGCTTGTGAGGGGAAGATCGGAGCACCTACGGATCTGTCTGGAGTGCTGTGATGATAATCCTTTCTACTCATTATTCACTAATCCGACATCTGGTTTCAGAAATCGACAGAAGCTGTTCTCCTGCCTAGGCCCCCTATCGAGCATGTGTCCCGGGTTGCTGCAGCGGTTGTATTTGATCGGGATTGACCTGCAGGCTATGGAGACTGTCTCGGGAGTTTTGTGTAGCGACAAACAGGGTGGGTATATTTGTGAGTTCCAGGCACCTTCCCCCCTCCCTCCCTCCCCCCGTCAATGGTGCTATAAGGTTCTTAGGTTTAAGGTTAGAGTCGAAAGGGTTGACTTCATTGCACCGGGTCACGCCCTTCTCTAATTATTCTAATTATTTATATCTAAAGATGGCCGTGCACCGGGTTTTATCCGGCTTAGGGCCTCACAATCTGTGGAGCCTCACAATCCAACGGAGCCTCACAATCTGATGGAGCCTCACAATCTGATGGGGCTTTGCAATTATCCCCCCCTCCCCCCCCCCCCCTCCTCTTCCCCGCAAATGCAATTTCTTTTTTTTTTATATATTTTACAATTATAAACATGTTTCAAGTGGTGATTTGAAGCCTTTTAAAGAATAACATAATTCACTGTCTTGATTTTGCAAATTATTATTTGAAAAAAAACAAAAAAAAACACAACTTCGACGACAATGTATTTCCATAATCCATATTTTTGAAAGGTGTAAAGTTAAGGTTCGTTTTCTACCCCTTAAGAGTATTTACGGATAGACCTATATTTTACAGACCAAATGGCACTTTGTAGTTGATGTGGTCAGCATCACACCGGCCGCCTTTACCTCCTAGGTCTGTAGCTGGTACCCAGTCAAGGGGTTATCGTCCTGGGAGCCAATGTCATTCTTTGAAAAGAGTCCGGCCCCTGTCAGGTCCCGAACCCACGACCTTCCGATCAGCAGGCGAGAGTCTAGCCTCCAGACCACGGCGGCGCTCTTTCAAAAGTGTATATATTTTAACGAATCTTAGATTGGCTGATGTCATTTAAAACGATAGGGGCTTTATATAGCCCAGGGTCTCGTTAAGTCTAAATTCAGGTCTAGTTTTATCGGCTAGAGAGAGCGTTGCACAAAACAGAAACTATAGCTCCGGCTACGATCCTTTTGTGATCTCCGTAAACCGAATGACGCAGCCATTAAACCAACCGACACTCCTCTCTAAACAAACTAAAGACAAAATTGAGTGCTGCCACATCGCTTGCAGCTGTGATCGAACCCCGCACCACGGCCTTATCAAACGTGTTCACAACGCCTGAGCCACGGACGCTGACCGTTTGCATACGCCAGGTCAGTAAAGATCTGGTAAAAAGAGATGCACGTGAAATTCAAGTTCAGGAGAAAAAGACTGGAAGAACTAGCAGAGCTTTCCATTGAAGTTTACAGCCGGTGAAGCAGAAGAAGAAGAGAACTGCCAATAGCGAAACTCTATAGCACAAGCCCTGTTCAGTAGAGACCATCTGTTGTCCATGCAGCATGGTTCCTTCCTCGGCCTGCCTTGTCTACTTATTAGGAAAGGTAACACTAATACTTTGGAACAAGACATACTACAGATGCTGCTGGATCAGAAAAGCCAAGCTTTGTCCGCTTGTCAAAGCTTACCTTCTCCTGGACCAGCTACCAACCAAGGCAAATAGCCTAGTCTTTACCTGCCATAATTTTAAGTTTAAAGGTTTCATTTTCTCCTCCTAGGATAAGGATAGTATCCACCCAAGTGCGTTCATTTCCGTCCGAAGCCGTCGGCTCAAGTGTGATACTTGGCTTTGAATTGGTGGCCCATAATTCGGTGTTTAACTAGGAGCAGATGGTACCGACTGCTGTTTCACTTTAGCTCAGTCATATCTGACCGACTTAACAGACAACATGTAGTAACAGCTACTGTTTCAAGGTAGCTGAGTCATATCCGACCAAGTTAACAGAGAACACACAGTACCAACTACTGTTTCAAGGTAGCTCAGTCATATCTGACCAAGTTAACAGACAGCACTTAGTCTTGACTAATGTTTCAACGTAGCTCAGTCATATTTGACCAAGTTAACAGACAGCACTAATGTTTCAAGGTAGCTGAGTCATATTTCATTAAAACCTGATTCTCTGCCTACTTTTCTGGTAGGTTACCTGAAAGGACTCACCTGCGCCAGCACGCCATCCCCAGACATGGCTCAGTGTAGCCAAGTAACGGGGACAAACATGAGAGCAGCAGTTCAAGGCCGCTTCCAGACCGGAAGTATCGTACCGTCCAAGTACATGGAGAATCTCTGCAAGTAGGCACTGTTTGTTTCTTTCGTTGCTATAGTTACCGTCATTTTTTTCATTTTTTTTTTTTTTTTTTGGTGGGGAGGGGGGCGGGGGGGGGGGGGGGGGCGAGTGCTGTCCTGTTTTTATTTTTGTGCTTTGTAATTTTCGCCTGCTTTACTTGTTCGTACTTACAAAGTTGTAAGCAATGGTTCTCTCTCCCCCCCCCCCCCCCCCCTTTTTCCTCTCTCTCACTTTTTTGTTGTTTTTCTCTGCGTGACTGCTTATCCTTTACAGGACATTGCAGAACCAACCCCAGCATTTTTTTTTTTACTGTTGTGGTTTTTCTAAGGAAATTTACTTCAAGTAGTTTACCCTTGCTTTCTGAACTGTCGGCTTCTTCATGCCACTGTCGAAACAATCGCAAGGCGCAAGGCCCGCAGCTGGGATCGAACCCGGCTTTCCGGCATTACGAAGCGCGTTCGCAACGCCTAAGACATAGGCGCTGACTCCGCAGTGGGCCAAAAAAAAACACATATAAAAGGGCGGTGGGGGAGAGCGGGGGGAGGGGGGGGGGGTTTGGGGAGGATTAATCAAGACTGGATTGTAAAGTACCTAACTATAGATGATAGCCAATTGATGTATCCCGCTTTTTTTAATAGAATTAACTGTAGCATACTGTCGTTGGTTAAAGTAATGTCATGTCCCCAAATAGAGTAGGTCACTTTTCATTCACAAGTTTGTTGGGTTGGTCGACTTTTCCGAAGGTTACGGGTGTGTCCCGCTCTGTTAATTGCTTTCTGCGTTGTCTTGCATCTACGTTTTCATTCTGAGAAATAGAATGACTGTGACATAGGTCGCAGCACTTTCTAGGGGTTTGTTTTAGGCCCAGTTGCTCTATGATTTTGGAGTATTAAAAGCGCTAGGCGTGCTTAAATATACAACACGCGATATCAACAGTATCGCTAAACACCTCTATAACCTAGTGCAAAGGTGACAGGTTCAGGAACTACTAATCAGAAGTGAGCTAGTGTGTATATGGACGGGGGCGTGGGGTACACGTTACGTGTTCCCTGTTGTTGTTTCTCTCTCTCTCTCTCTCTCTCTCTCTCTCTCTCTCTCTCTCTCTCTCTCTCTCTCTCTCTCTCTCTCTCTCTCTCTCTCTCTCTCATTATTACGAATACAGAAAGACAGCGTGGTCAATGGTCTTCTTCTCTGGCCCTGTTCTGTCTTTCAGCGTCAGGTTGTGAAGAGGCATCCTGTGAGTGCCTTACTTTGGGCTACGTAGTTGCTGGTATTTACATCCTTAGATACTCCATCCATCCATCGCTTGCGTAGTTGACCTCTAAATCTGCTTCCATTACGTCTGATAGGGCTCACTGCGGCGCAGTATCTAGTGGTAGTCTTGGTACATGTCCAAACCATTTGATCTGATGTTTCTAGGTGTAGTTTATTACTAGTTCTGTCCAACTTCTTTCCCGATTTCGTCGTTTCTAAACCTGTCTCTTCTAGTTACGTTTAGAATTCGAGGTAGCCATTTCTTTTATAATGTTTAGATTACATTAAAACTTTTTTAACGTCTAAATTTGGCGCTTCTAAGACAATGTTAGTACAAATACTTTTTGTTAACGTCCAAATTTGGCTCTTCTAAGACAATGTTAGTACAAATACTTTTTGTTAACGTCCAAATTTGGCTCTTCTAAGACAATGTTAGGATAAATACTTTTTGTTAACGTCCAAATTTGGCTCTTCTAAGACAATGTTAGTACAAATACTTTTTGTTAACGTCCAAATTTGGCTCTTCTAAGACAATGTTAGTACAAATACTTTTTGCTAACGTCCAAATTTGGCTCTTCTAAGTTAATGTTAGTACAAATACTTTTTGTTAACGTCCAAATTTGGCTCTTCTAACACAATGTTAGTACAAATACTTTTTTGAATAGTACTCTTTTGAAGTGAATTGTTAAACATTTGCTCTAAGAAAACAAATTGTTGACATCTGTCAAACACTGTTCTTTGGCCACAAAATGAGAAGAAAGATACTGGGGAACATCGTGACAACTGGAAAGATCACTGGGAAAAGGTTTAGAGGCACACCAGGAGAGATGATGCTGGATGGGTTAAAACGATTACAGGGAGGGATATCATCAAGAGAGCTGTTCCAGGCAACCCGGGATCGTGATCTGTGGAGATGCATGAGCGTCTACGCCAGTTGGCATGACACATGACGATGATGATCTGTCTAATAATTGTATGTCGATGGTCAGTGGTCACTGCTGTTTAAATCTGCTACTGCATGTTTTGTGTGGCCAGAACCAAGCTGACCCAAATGGCTTGTGAGCTGCCCGCTTATGGCAAGAGCTGTGACCCCGACGCAGTGGCTGTGAGAACCAGCGTGGAGTGTGGCATGTTGCCCAAGCCTTGCCGGGAGAACGCCCAGTTCCAGTCCGACTACAACGCCGTCTGTCAAAAGGTAGGCAACGTTTGTGGTTGGTTATTTCTTAAAAAGGTTTCGGTCATCATTTAACCTTTCAACTCTTGTAACCTCTGACTCAGAGAACCATCAAACAGGCACTAAAATGGGTAACATAATTGAAGATAGAGGATAGTGTGTCTGTCTTTAGCTGTCTCTGTGTCTGATTTTATTACCCAATACCGCTGTCTTTTCTTTCTGGACTTTTTATATTATTCCAGAACTTGACTTTTGCGTGCACAAACGCTTTACAGATCTGGCTTTTTTATATGCCAACTGTTGGTTTCTCACCGCTCAGGTAGATGAGTTGCTACTTGACGGTACTATTCCTAATTAATCGCCTTTTACGACATGCTTGTTAAGGAGGTAATGGGTCTATTCTCTCTTCCCCTGAAATGAGGCCCCAGGGTCCACATGGGGGGTGATGAAGATGATCCTAGAATGAACAATAGACAAAGAACAACGGACAATAAAAAACGGACAATAAACAAAAGACAATGAAACAGTGGACAATGAAACAGTGGTCAATGAACAACGGACAATGAACAACGGACAATGAACAACGGACAATGAACAACGGACAATGAACAACGGACAATGAACAATGGACAATGAACAACGGACGATGAACAATGGACAATGAACAACGGACAATGAACAACGGACAATGAACAAAGGACAATGAACAATGGACAATGAACAACGGACAATGAACAACGGACAATGAAAAACGGACGATGAACAACGGACAATAAACAACGGACAATGAGCAACGGACAATGAACAACAGACAATGAACAACGGACAATGAACAATGGACAATGAACAACGGACGATGAACAATGGACAATGAACAATGGACAATGAACAACGGACAATGAACAACGGACAATGAACAACGGACAATGAACAATGGACAATGAACAACAGACAATGAACAACAGACAATGAACAACAGACAATGAACAATGGACAATGAAAAACGGACGATGAACAATGGACAATGAACAATGGACAATGAACAACAGACGATGAACAATGGACAATGAACAATGGACAATGAACAATGGACAATGAACAATGGACAATGAACAACGGACAGTGAACAACGGACAATGAACAATGGACAATGAACAATGGACAATGAACAATGGACAATGAACAATGAACAATGGGCAATGAACAATGGACAATGAACAATGGACAATGAACAATGGACACTGAACAATGGACAATAAACAATGGACAATGAACAATAGACAATAGTGATTAGTGATTAAAAAGGATTATCAAAACATTTCTCCAAACAGATCCATAGGTGCTCCGATCTCCCCCTCAAAAGCTCCACAAGTGTCAAACGACTGATGACGCCTGTTCTGTGTTTGTTTAATGAAACATCTTGTCCCCTTAGTTAAATGTTCATTTCTTGCAGCTCCAGGCTGCATCCCCATGTCCATCAGTCTAGACAGGGATACGGAGCCATGTCCTTTGGCGTCCTCCTCGGTACGGTAAGCACAGCGCATGGCATTGATAACATCACTTCTGTCCAGTACTGGGCCAGCCATAGCAACCGCATTGTCAGCAAGATACTCTGCACGCTCGTTCCCTTAAACACCCACACCACCTCGCACAAAGATAAAGGTTAGGGCAGCTATTCGTGAAGTGCTTAGTGTTGCAATCCATTTTTGCCTGATAAATCTAGCTTAGATTTTGTTTCAGAATATTCATCGAGTATCAATGGGCAATGCAAATCTTTAGTCTTTTAATATAGCTGTGTAATTGTTACGCTTCTCTCCATCTCTAGGTGACCACTCAAACACCTATTCAGGTTGTTCGACCAACCCAGGGACAACCAGGTATAATGCCAGGAGGTGGACCTATCCCTTCTGCTACATCGCCAACAGTTGCTACAGGCAAGAGTCGATCATCGTCCGCTGATTATCTGAGATTGTCTACTGCAGCGTTTGTGGTCACTTCTGGAGTCCTTCTGTTGGTCTTCACCTAGAAGCTAAGTTCAGTTTGGCAACTCAAGAACAGTTTTGATTTGTTTTTAAAAAAGGTAACTCTTTGTTAATGAAGTTAGAAACGTCAGAAAGTCCGCTAAAACACAGCTGACTTGGGAAGTAAGAAAGAAATAAACTCAGAGAGAAGAAAAAAGCGACAACTGGTGTTTCTGTCGTAGTGAATTCTTTAATGTATTGAATTATTAAAGTGGATGAAAGAAGACATAAAGTACTACTTGAAATTGGCTTGCTGCGATGTTTGTTTGTCTTTGTAAAACTTGCATATATCGAATAAAACATAAATATCGAAAATACATAAACAGCAAAATGTTTTAATACAGCACAAATAGTGCAGAAAATGCAGAAAAAGATCTTTATTTTCAATTCAGCTCAAACAAAGGTAATCCCGGAGTTCCCGGAAAAGTGCGATATTCGTGGGGTCTTATGGGTTGGGATTAGGGGTCAGGGCTAGGGCTAGGGCTAGGGTTAGGGATTAGGGTTAGGGATTAGGATTAGGGATTATGGCTAGGGGTAGGTTTAGGGCTAATCCCAACCTATAACACTCCAAGAATATTGTATTTGCCCAGAAACTCCGGGATATCCTTTATTTGGCGTGAATAAAAACTAAAGTACCTTTGCAGCGTCACACTCGTCACGACAAATGACCAGGAATATTATGTTTTTTCTTAATTTTATTTTGATAATGAAGACTCTGGTCGAAACGTTCAGTTAGTATCTTTTAATTTCCTTCAATGGTGAAAGATTCCGCTGTATTTATTTTTCTAAACAGTGCGGTCACTTTTATTTCCCATAGTACATTGCTTGTCTCGTGATTCTTTTAAAAAAAAAAAAAAAAAAGTAATTAAAATAAAATCAGACATTTGAATTTCAAAGAAGGCGTCCGGAAGTGACGTGATTTCATCTCTTTGTCCAGTACTCGACCCACAAATAGCGACAGACGTTTTTGGATATTGAATAAAAGTAGAAAATTGAATCTTTGAATATTTGTGTTTGTTATTAAAATGTTACTTCATCATCTGAATACACACGCTTAAACTGAAACACATAACTCCCACACCCGTGTTCAAATACATCAACTGAAGCACATGAACAGGCAGACGATCATCACGCACATGTAAATGAATGTTCTTTCAATTGTCTACATTGTAGAAAATCATAAAATTACCATGATTCTGAATATCAAAATTATGACTAATGTATGTTCCTTCCTGTTGGTATGGTTCCCCCCTCCCCCTTCCCCAGTAGTACATAAACAATTTAGACCATTTAAAGTAAGAAACAAAGTAGATGTCTTGTTAGGTGCTTTATTAATATCCGACCCCAAACAGGGGAAATCCACAGGTCACAGGACAGTCTATAATTTCAGAGGGTGGAAGATAGAACCTATCGTAGGACCTAGGCTGCACGCAGTCGTGGAACGTATGCTGCACTCTCTCCTGGGACGTAGGTGGCTTGGGGTAAGGGCCAGTTCTACATGTTTTGGGGTTGTTAAAATCATCAGACAGCCGGGAAACCCAGTCTTACCACCCTCTAAAATGTTGGACTGTCCTGTGACGACAACTGTTATTACGAAAGAACCTCTTTATAAATAAGCAGTTGACCTAACTATCTTCTCCATTTAGTTGTTTTAAAAAAAAAAGTAGTTTATCCAGCGGCGTAATCCGGTATACTATTTAAAAATTCACAGTCGGATTAACTATGCGTTCGCCTAATTTGTTGCTGTTGTTGTTATTGAAAAGTATAAAGTACAAGATAATTTAGTCACACTGTTCACATAATTTGGATCATTGAATTAATATTCAACGTAGATTATATGTATGTATTTGTGTGTGCGTGTGTGTATGTGTGTGCATGTTGGTGTGTAATTGACTTTGAATCTTAATTCAATGATCCAAATTGTTTGTATGCTACTAAAAAAACAAAAACGAAAGATAACATTTTAAAAAAAAAAATGGAAACAGTGTGTTGTAAATATTGTAACAGACATCATCCAAACAACAAATGTATGATAGGAATCCAGGTTTTAACAATAACATGCAAAAAACCTATTGCTAGAAAAAAGTTAGAAATCAAAACAATTTAATGATGCCATCAAATGTTTTTCCTGTGGCTGTTATAATCATGTCAAAAAGAAACAAAAAACTTACTCAAAAAACAATTTAAAGAAGCTAACGTGGGGTATGAGGAACTTTGACTCTGAATCAGCAAGTGAGCCTGTGAATGCCAAAGCAGTTAGATGCGAAAACAATGAATGTTGTCTCATATGCCACCAGTTCCATGAAGAAGATACCTTGCCCTGTGGCAATAACACAATGGTTAGTTAGTTGCGTATCCTTTACGGGACGTTGCAGAACCAACCCCAGCAATGGAGGTTCGTCCACCTTTGAACTTTAGTCTTGTTAAAGAATTTGAGTGTTATATGCACATCTATTTCACACATCAGACGTATTGGTAAAAAGGCTTTTGGTAACTTGCCTCTCTGGCAGATGTGCTCCAATTTCGAAGGATTCCCGCAATTAGTCGAGTCCTACGACATGCTTGTTATAGAGGAAGTATGTCTATTCACGGAAACTGACATCTTTTTTATTGGTGAGTATCTTCTGCATTTTGTTCAAGACCACCAACTGATATTTAAGATACGAAGATACGTTTGCAGACAGAAAGAGACACAGAGAGGTATTTACAGATATAAAGACACACTTGAAGCACCAGAGACATGCGGAGAGGTATTCACAGATATAAAGACACACTTGGAGCACCAGAGACATACGGAGAGGTATTCACAGATATGAAGACACACTTGGAGCACCAGAGACACACGGAGAGGTATTCACAGATATAAAGACACACTTGGAGCACCAGAGACACACGGAGAGGTATTCACAGATATATAGACACACTTGCAGTACCAGAGACATACAGAGAGGTATTCACAGATATATAGACACACTTGCAGTACCAGAGACATACAGAGAGGTATTCACAGATATAAAGACACACTTGCAGTACCAAAGACATACAGAGAGGTATTCACAGATATAAAGACACACTTGCAGCACCAGAGACATACAGAGAGGTATTCACAGATATAAAGGCACACTTGCAGTACCAGAGACATACAGAGAGGTATTCACAGATATATAGACACACTTGCAGTACCAGAGACACACAAAGAAGTATCATAGATTAATGACAAACTTGCAGTACCAGAGACACACAGAGAGGTATTCACAGATATATAGACACACTTGCACTACCAGAGACATACAAAGGGGTATTAACAGATATAAAGACACACTTGCAGTACCAGAGATCTACAGAGATGTATTCACAGATATAAAGACATACTTGCAGCACCAGAGACATACAAAGAGGTATTCACAGATATAAAGACATACTTGCAGAACCAGAGACATACAAAGAGGTATTCACAGATATAAAGACATACTTGCAGTACCAGAGACATACAAAGAGGTATTCACAGATATATAGACACACTTGCAGTACCAGAGACATACAAAGAGGTATTCACAGATATAAAGACATACTTGCAGCACCAGAGACATACAGAAGTATTCACAGTTACTGATTTCTTCAGCGCTGTCTGTCTGTCTGTCTGTCTGTCCGTCTGTCTGTCTGTCTGTCTGTCTGTCTGTCTGTCTGTCTGTCTGTCTGTCTGTCTGTCTGTCTGTCTGTCTGTCTGTCTGTCTGTCTGTCTGTCTGTCTGTCTGTCTGTCTGTCTGTCTGTCTGTCTGTCTGTCTGTCTGTCTGTCTGTCTGTCTGTCTGTCTGTCTGTCTGTCTGTCTGTCTGTCTGTCTGTCTGTCTGTCTGTCTGTCTGTCTGTCTGTCTGTCTGTCTGTCTGTCTGTCTGTCTGTCTGTCTGTCTGTCTGTCTGTCTGTCTGTCTGTCTGTCTGTCTGTCTGTCTGTCTGTCTGTCTGTCTGTCTGTCTGTCTGTGTCTCTCTCTCTCTCTCTCTCTCTCTCTCTCTCTCTCTCTCTCTCTCTCTCATCTCTTCTGGGGTTTTTAATAAGCCATCAGTCAACTCCCGCCAGGTAGTCCCACTCCATCTTCCAATTTTGATTGAATTTTAACTTCACTCCCTAATTCCCCTTTCCCTGTGTGCGCCTATCCCCTCGGCCTTGTGAGTTCCAGTTAAAATACATTCTAGTTATTGTTACCGAATTTTCTCAAACTGTATCCTATCCAACAGCAGCGTTTTCCAGTAAATCAAAATTGCCCCTAAATCAACCATCACTGGAACAGTCTAAGTGAGAAACTGTAGAACGTGAAATTACCTAGTAAAATCACATAGAACTTCATTTGCACTATGGCACCTTTCCGTCTTTCCAAACGATAGTGTTATGTTGCACGATGGTGAGACATGACACTGACAGCCCATTTTTCCGTTTATTTTCAGACACTCAGCTTGCATCCTTTCTGCAATAATTTCTTCCTTCACCTAAATTCCCTTCCTGATATGCCCTAGCAATTTGACCATGTTACTAGTCCCTCCACTTCTAAGTCTAGTTGACTAAAGGATTTCTTTGAGGGTCCAAATGACTGGTCACTTCTTTTCCAAGTGTGACAAACTGAAGGATTTCTATGAGGGTCCATGCTACTAGTTCCTCGTCCTCTAAGTCTTGATGACCAAAGGCTCTTTGAGGGTCAATATGACTAGTCCCACCTCTTTCAAGTCTGGCAAACTGAAGGATTTCTACTTAGGTGCTGGAATGCTGGTATTTGTTTTCTTTTTACTTTGACTGCTTATAGAACATTCTAGTATACTAAAACTTGTTTACTATGTGCGTTCTCATGTGGGATATTCTAAATACATCTCATTGCATCAGATTTCATCATCTTATACTGTGCCAAATATACTAATTAGATTGACAGCTGACCTTACGGAGACTTGCAGAAAGCCAGTGCTACTAAGTTCTCTTTGAAAGGGCACATCAACAATAACATCATACACTATCCCCCG